AGGGAGAAAGAAGGATGACATTATTGGGGAGGAATAAAGGAGTATGACGTGGGAGAATCAGGACCATTAAATTATTATTGACTATCCACTGTTGGTGTTGGATAATGGATTCAACGCTAATGTAGTTACGAAACAATAATCAACCGAGTCGCCGTGTCGGCAATCTGAACTGATATAATAAGTCGATTTGTGTAAGTAATACTACTTTATAAGATCCACCAAGACTACAAAGATATCAAACATTTTTACGCCAAATAAGGTCATGTATAATAACATGCATCTTTTATTTAAATTTACAAATTTTAAGTTATATCTATATCTGATTATAACTTCTTAATATAATAAAGTTCAAGTACTGAATATATTACTCAGCCAATAAAATGAAATTTTAAAGAAATTTCCTCCGTAATTATTCATAATTCCCAGTATAACACATCTGTTACTTGCTAGCAAAGCCTGTATCACTTACCCCAAAAAAGCCTGTATCATGACAATAGTAAGACTGCGTAATGAAATTCTAAGAGTAAAAGTATGTTAATAAATGGGATCAAGATTCAAAAACCGAAAATTCTAGAATGCCAATGAAATTATGACATCTTTGAATTATTATTATTATTATTATTTTATCATGGGACATGTTTAAATTAGTTTGTGCGTACCTTAACTAATCATTTAGGATTTTGGCATTATTTACTAGATAAAAACCTCAATAACCACCCTTATTAATGTCCAAGAAAACTCGAACTCAGGAACTCATAAAATTCCTTTTGCTTTTTTACCATCAAGTCATCAAATAATGATTAATCTTTGAATTATTTAAGATTTATTATCTAAACCCCGTATCTAAATCTTGGGGGATATCAAGAATAACCCTAAACCCCCATCGTTATCCAAACGCTGTAAAATATGTTTAAAAGGTTTTGAATACCCATATCACCATTTCCTTTAAGTTTGTAACTTTTGTTGACATTTTTTCAACTTTGTATTTAATACTAATTAAATTATTAATGAATTTTTCATCACCCATAATAATTTATAAACATTACAAAACAAGTACATTCTTAAATAAAACGAAAAACAAACAAAAAAATTAAAAAAACTCCACTAATTTCGAAAATAGGACCCTAACCCTTGTTCCGGTAACTGATATTGTTAAAGTTAATTGATAAGCATGTAAAATTGATCTAGCCTCTAACGGATTCATAGAGGCCCGATCTTGCCTCTAAAGTCGTCAATAGGGTCTAATATAGCTTCTATTAGTGTTGAGAGGCCGAATTTGGCATCATTGACACCAAGGTTAGATCTGACATTTTGACGTGGATAGGGACAAGATTTGGCCCTAGCAACACCTCCTAAGGCCAGATCTGGCCCTAGCAACATCTCCCAGGGCCAAATCTAGCCTTTTCGATTGCCAAGAGTAGGGGTGTTAACGAGCCAAGTTTTCGGCTTAACGAGCTCGGCTCGTGAAAGAAGAGTAGTAATCGAGCCAAGCTGAGCCGCAGATTTTATGGCTCGGCTTGGCTCGGGAAAGAGTTAAAAATATTTCGAGTCGGCTCGTGAGCCAACTCTCAAAAATTCAATTTTTTTTAAAGAAAAATCATTTTTTTTCGAGCTAGGCTCGGCTCGGTCTGGCTCACGAACCGAGCTGAGCCGGCTCGTTATCTGACGAGCCGAGCCGTTAACGAGTCAAACTCGAGCTGAGTCGAGCTGGCTCATGAGCAGCTCGACCCGTTAAGCACCCCTAGCCAAGAGGCCTTGCCTAGCCTTTATCAGTGTTGCCTTGAAGGCTTTAAAGCCTTTTGTGGCCGCCACAAGGCTTTTGGTGGTCTCAAACGACACCACAAGGTTGTGGGAGGTGGTGTGTGGCGACACAAGGTTAGCTGAGTCATTGGGGGTGATTTTGTTATTTTGGCAAAGGGCAAAAAAATCATTTCATTTCTTAATAAATTTTAATTATGATTAACAGTATATCTTAAAGAGTAATGTTACATTTACAAAGATTCTCATAAAAAGTGATGTGACAAAAAATCTCTAATAATAATAATAATGCGTAATAAGATTAATCAACCAAAAAGTAAAGAAAAATGTTATCCTTACAAAGACCCATACAAAGAGGGCTACAAAGTGATGTCAAGAAAAAGAAAAAAACAAAGAAAAAACAGAAAAAAAGAGAAAGAGAGAGAAATAATGAAAATCAAGGGTTACAAATGTCTTTGTATGCCCTATTTGTATTTGTCTTTGTAAAACTAACATGGATCAAAAGTAAAAATATGGTAATAAATGGGTATCTCAAAGTTCAACCAAAAATAGAATTCTTTAATCCAAGAGAAAATGAAAAATTCTTTGTACCTCCTGAGGTTCCATTACATGCATTCAAAACCATACAATGACATAAACTTAATCACAGAACAAAATCTTAATTAAGAAGGCCATTGATATACCTTTCAACTTGATTAAAGTTAAACGACTGCGCTTCTGCCTCCAGCGCCTCAATATATAGATTTCTACAAATGGAATGTGGGCTATCTTGTACCAATCTTCACCAACTTCCTTCTCACATCGCCTATAAAGTTCAGGGCACTCGAATATCTCTAAATGCCGAAGCTTGGCAAGATTCTGGGTGCTCGTGGGAAGGGAGCTCAATTTACCACATCTATAAATTCTAAGTGACTGAAGAGATGTAAGGTTGGCCAGCCGGTTGGGCAGTAGAGTCAGATTAGGAAAACTTGATATAAGCAAATCTTGAGGAGAGGGGATATGATGCAAGCCCTCCGGTAAAGCAGCAGAAGAAATATTGGGAGAATAAATTTCTATGAGCTGGTTCACCAATTAAGTTCAAACATTTGAGGGAAACAAGGTGCTGAAAACCACCTGGCATCTCTACCAGCTTTGGGCAGAGCCACAGAGCACCAACTTCTCAAGGGCAGTGAGGTTTCTAAATCCATCAGACAAACACTTAAAGTTCTTACAATAATCAATTCCCAAATAACGAAGAGAGATCAGTCCCTGCAGTCCTTCAGGAAGAGACTCAAGCTCATGAGACTCCCTAATACATAATGAATCAAGAGATTTGAGGTTTTTTAAGTCAGTTGGCAGCACTTTAGGTTTGCTGAAATCCTCGATTCTCAATTCCCGAAGGCCAGTGAGGCTTAGGAACATCCCATTTGGTAATACCATCAGTTCATCCTTACCCTCAATCACAAGTGAAGTCTGTAAGATTCTCTAGATTTCGAGTTGAACTCAACAAAATGTCGCCTCATTTTCGTATTACCCTTTGAATTAATAGATTAATTAGTCGTATATAAATGTAGTGATTTCCGTTAATAATTATCGAAAACATTTTTTAAGAGAAAAAGTGAAGTGTAATTGTAAAAATTAAAAAACCTTAAAACAGCTTATTAAAGAATCCAAAATTTAAGTTTCTCAGAACAAATGTAAATTATATATTTTTTTCTTTAAAAAAATAATCCATAAGTTATTCCCCAGTTGAAACAACATGACACTAAAAAGAAAAAACGAAGAAATCTTTTTAGACAAATCATGCTACATATGAAAAATTCTGTTATTATATATCACAGATTAGTTATGAAGCTTTCTTTAGGATATTGCATTACAGACTGATGCTCAGCTTCCCTTCCCTTATCTCCCAAATCTTCATCCATAGAGTATGAGGGAAATAAATTCCAAACCATTCTCTTCCCTCTTCAGAACTGTTGGAAATTGGAAGCCAAACAAATCAAGTCTCAGGCTTCCAATTTCATAAAAGATGAACGCATGCATGAGAAAAGACAATTTTATTAATAAAAAACTCATACATGTGCCATAATACAACTTTACATTCAATCCCCTTTTTATAGATTCTCTTTGACACATCAGATCTTCTTCTTCACTTTGACAGCACTTTGATGCATATCTTCAACACTCCTCCTTGCATCAATAATGCTGCAAACTCCCAAACTCTGTAGCCATTCTTGCTATCATACTTGCTGCCATTCTTGTAGTCATCATCAAACTTACTCCTCCTTTCGGGTAAGCATAAAACCTTGTAGCCACACTTGCTGCCTTGCTGTGAGTTCTGCTGCCAATCTTGCAGCACTCTTGTTGCCACTCTTGCAGCCACTTCTTGCTGCCACTCTTGTAGCCACTCTGGCTGCTTTGCTGCCAATCCTACAGCCAACTTTGCAGCCTATCTTGCTGCCAAACTTGTTGCATTGCTGCCACTTCTGCAGCCAACTTTGCAGCCACTCTTGCTGCCATTCTTGCAACCTCTTGCTGCTTTGCAGCCACAATGATGAAAACTTCTTCAAGCTTACTCCTCCTTTCGTATAAGCCTAAAACAACCAAACACTTCACCACGCTTTAAGTGTTGATTCCTACTCCAAATTTCATTGAAGTCTCTCACAACTTCAAGTGGTTGAAAGCATGTTCTTCTGTAGGTTGCTTTAGGAAATCTTCAAAGTCCTCTCTCGAGCATTCTGTTCTCTTGCCATGGTAACACTTTTATAGCTTTTAAGTGTTGATTCCTACTCACAAGCTTTCATCCATCTCCCACAGGTCCCTTAAGATAAATGGCTCTGATACTATTTGTTGGAAATTGGAAGCTAAACAAATCAAATTGGAAGCTAAACAAATCAAGTCTCAGGCTTCCAATTTCATAAAGATGAACACACGCATGAGAAAAGATAATTTCATTCATAAAAAACTCATATATGTGCCATACTACAACTTTACATTCAATTCCTTTTTATAGATTCATATAGAGATAAGATTACATTAAACAACTACGGTACAAACTGCTGATTTAAATATCAAATTTAAAAATGTAACTTCTTCTCTTTGACACATCAGATCTTCTTCTTCACTTTGACAGCACTTTGATGCATATCTTCAACAAGAACTATTTTCTGGGTGACATAATTTGGTAAACTGAGCAATGTGTTTGGTTTTTTGTGGATGTCATATTAAAGCTTTAGTTCAATTTAAGGTTTTTCAGCACTATATGATATATAAGAAATTCGCTGCTCAGACATAAACTTATATATGTGTTTCTGATACTATTGAATGAACATTTAAATTCACAATAAAAGAATCACCAATTCAGAGATATGTACATTTAAAAACCATTAGAAGAATCAACCTTGTTCCTTCTTGAGCTTTCTTGTCACACTTTCTCACACTTCGCCAGAAGCCAATGTTGCCTGCAAGTAATTTAATATATGTTATTAATACTATGAACAAGTATTCTGGATCTTTCTGCGCCTATTTGTAAATATGATGAGCATGTGGGACATTCTTTCATGTAGTGACCTGTTGCAGTTGATATTTGGAAAAACAAAAAAACAAAAAATCATAAGTTGATTTGTATCAACATGGAACATACTGAAATCTCAAGCTGACGGCAGGATATCCAAGGCGACTTCCTTGAGGGATGGCATAGCTTCCTGTTGATGCAAACAAATATACTTATTCCTCACTTTCTTGAAGACTTTCCAGGAACCTGGGTAGCACCTAACAGAAGCGAAAATACTGTTTAATTGATCAGTTACAGCAACATCGAGAAAGTAGTGACTATATTTTAAATATAGCAACTCTATGGAGCTAAATAACAGTTAGCAGTAGAGGTTTCCGAATTTTTGAAAAACATAAATTAGTTACACTAAAGCAGCAGAATCTCAGTTACTAGCTAGCGAACCTGAACAGAGCTCCTCCATTGCGACCTTTAAAATTGTGAATATAATATACAGTCTCCATCTTAGGCAGGAGAGTCTTGGTTAGTGCAGCAAGCTTAGGGTAGAAAAATGGTGGATAATCTTAGTCAGTCAAGGATAACTTTGATCTGAAGAGACAATATAAAAGCACCAATGATATGGACAAATGCTGCAACAGTTTTGTCCTTAACTTCCTAACAATACCAGGAAAAGAAAAATTGTTTCTTTAATTAAAAGATAATTTAAAAAAGAGGAAAGTAGAAAGTAATCAGAATTAAAATAATATCAAGTGGTGAAACAAGTGACCAATTTGATGGGTGTTTATCTAAAAACTGTATCAGCATCAAAATTATCCTAAAACAACGAGATTGATAATCATGCAACAATGGCAGAGGATACACCCAGACCTTATCCGGTCAAGTTCTCCATTGAATATAATCATTTTCCGTGTAGTATTGGAGACCGCTTCCTTGTAAAGCTCTTCCACCACAAGCATCTCTAAATGGCAAAGAAATTGCAGAAATAAGAACCTTATAGAATGACTACGTATTAAGATGACAAGATGTTTGAAGCTACCGTTGACATTAAAATATGGATAGGCGACTAGGAACATTTCATCTTCTGGTTTCACGCGGTCTGCCATTTTGACCTTTTCAGTGAATCCAAAATCCTCAAAAAATGATGGCTTTGTAAGATAGTCCAAGTTAAAGGATGCTCCTTCAAAAGCTGATTGTCTTGCAAATTTTACTTCATTTGCCTCCGGGAAAAACTAAAGAAACAAATATCAGGTTTATCCACATAAATTTGACCTAAAAATGAAGACACCAAATGACTGACCAAAATCACAAATCATTCAAGATCTTATATCAGAGAAACAGAACAAGGTCTTTAAAGTGCACAGAGCGTTGGTAAGGCACCCATGTAGCAATGTTTACACAACGTATGATTGATATTTTTTGACTCAATGCAGCCTGAAAACACATATATATAAGAACTTCTTGACAATTTGTCAACAATATCCTATATCATGAAACATAAGGTTGATTTCACTGTCATTTGTCCAGAAAACTTCATCAACTTAATAATAGTACATAAATAAGAATCTTTCACATTCTTTCTGAAAAAAACAAATGCAAATCTTTTTCTCAACAATCATGAATTCAGAATCACATGAACTATATAAGATGGTCCTAGTGACAATCATTTCTCACTTATCTAATGCTGCAATGTTAGTTCCCTGAAATATAATATATAGAAGCAAAATATAACAAGTTTTAACAGTTGATGAGGCCAATCATATAGAATAACAGAAAATTCTCAAATCCCCTAAAATATTATTTGGTTTAATCAAATCATGCATAAAATAATATTTCAAAGCTGCTTATGCTATAATAAGCTTCATAATTTAAAATAAAATTGAACATTCCCTCAGCTTTTACTTTTTCCTTACACAAAAAAGCAGTAAGTTCAGATTTACAGCCCTCTACCTTTCACTCCTAATAAAATTAAGAGAAGGATGCACAACAAAACCTCTCCCCTAACGGCAGAGTGCTTTCCTTGAAAAGACAAATTGAAGGAAAAATATTATTCTAGTACCGATCATATGCACAAAGGCTTACTATTCTAGTTCGTGTAGCTTTCTCAGGAGTTACAAACTGATCACAAAATTCACGTATTAGCATCATACTTCCCGTCATTTCTATTCCTCCTTCACCATCACCTGTAACACAGTCTAGATAAATTGGGAGGCAATAAAAGGGATCCCCAAGAGGGATGAAGGTGGGGCAAGTGGAAAGCACCTGGTACAGAATCAAGTCCAGCTGTTGGGAATTCGATTTCCTGTAACATATACTTGTTGGTCACAAACTATATACTTTCGGCAGTTGATGTGTACTAGATTATAAATTCTTCTATTATCCAGTACTAACTCACCATCAACTGTTTGCCATCCTTCGCAGCTAATTCGGCTGCATTTTTTGCCTGTTAATTTTTACAAACCCAAAGTAAACGTCACAACCACAATAAATACAATAAGAATTCAAATTCTAAAAAGGTTGGAAACATTGATAATACACCAGATAGACATACACACACAGAGAATATACATTCCGTAAGGTTCCTCGGAGTCTGTTCCATGTCCATTTCTTTAAATTGCTTTTACCACTCATCTTTAGGTGCTCAATATTCAGATACAAGTAATGTTGACCGATGATATTGTTTAATTTACATAAATTTCGTGTCTATATAGTTTTATTATAAATATATACATTTTTTGAAACGTGTCTTTGCTTTTGTTTAGAAATACACATTATAATTATCTAAATAAACAACAGAGAAAGACACCTTACAATGAACACATACTACTGTCTACATTGAAAGCAAACTCACTAAAAATATCTATCAGGATTTAATAATAGACGATTTGTAGTCTTTGAAGCATCATTGGCACAACTTTTATAGTATTTATTGCATTGCGTTGCATGTTCATTTCTTTCTTAGTATCGTATTTGATTACCCAGACTTATCTTCTTTTTTTTTTCATTAAATTCTTCTACTTCTTTTTCCATCAAGAAAACACATTATGTTTCAGCAAAAACTCAGTGATATTGCTGAACCACAAATCTTGCACAGCAGAATTTTCTCATTCTACACCTTACACTATCAAAATTCACGTAATTAATTAACAAAATAATTGCAAATTACACGATACATATAAGGTAAAAGCTTACTTGTTCAAGAAGCTCAGGATAGTCACCGGGGAATGGCACATCAAAGTCAGCCGACTTACTTCCATCCCGTGCAACAGAATAAGTAGAACAATTGAGTCTTCTGTGCACTGTCAATGTGCTGACTCTTGTACTACCAAAATTGTCATGACATTTTATTGAGGACTTTTTGTCGTTAAACTACGATATGTGACAACAAATTAGTCAGGCAAAGAAAACCTTCCACAAGACTTCAATCCAGAAATTTAGTTGTACTCTATAGCAAAGTGATTCATTCCATTTAAGCAATACATCAGAGATTCCATAGTCGAACTATCAAATTTTAAGCTCAACAAATAAAAAAATAAACCAGGAAATTTATAATTCAGAATAATAAAGCAAAACTAACAGCCAATCTGCAACTCATTTATCATAAAATAAAGCACTTCATTATTACTGGCTAAAATAAAAACAAAATTGTAACTGTATAACAATGGCTATGAAAAGCTGAGCCCTGTAAAATATTCGAAAACAATTAAGAAGCTAAAAATTGGCTTGCCTTTGGAGTTTGAATTGGAGGAAGAGTAGACAGGACGGTGGCGGCGTTAGGTAACGGCATTTTGAAGCAGAGGGAAAGACAGAGATAACGGAATTCTCATATATGTGATAATCGTGCATGTAGCCAGATAATCGAATCTCTGTTGTCTGTTCCTGCTGCCACTCGGTTGGACATTTTACGGGTCGGATTTGAAAGTGGTTACCCAAAATAACCCGCTGCAGCAAAGGCTTGTTTGGATTTATATGTTTGTTAGCGATTTTTAAGATTTGAGGCATTTTATTTTTGTTTGTTTCTAAAAATTTTAACATTTATTTTATATAATAGATAATCTTTATAAAAAATAAAACTGGAAAATTATAAATCCAGTTCTTATCCTTAAAATTTTTGGATAATGTAATAAAGAGACAAATAAATATTACAACAAAATACGAAATGAATTACCGACAAATGACCAATTCCAATTGCTTTTATTTGTTTCTATAAATACTTTGGAATTAATCTTGCTTTGGCTACATTAATTTATTTCTTGAATGTTATATAAATTAGTGTACTGAATTTCTGGATAAAGTTGAGAAGTTTCCACTCCTCCGTTTCCTATTTCAAAATTTTGCAAGACATCCCTCGAAAAATACATGATAGTAGATTAGTAATGTGTTACTCCAACTTGCACCGCATAATTTTTGCCTTCAACTAGAATGAAAATACAAAACAAATTTATTAGATTTTTTCTAAATTCGTTGTTAAAAGAGTAATCTAAGTGATATAAGTTTATATCTAAAGTCTCGATAACTTCTCCCTGAGATAATATATTTTTAGGTGGTCAAATGTATAAAGTCTTTTTGAGGGTTCGAGGGTCATCAGGCTAAGGATTTGATTATATACATTGTGTAGACGTAAAAATCTACCTGTACGAAAATAGGGGTCTGATCCCGTGAGGTTGAGGCCACTAGCGATCTGCTGCACCTGCACACATAGGAAAACAAACGCGTGAAACGAACGAGAAACACCAGGATGGTGTTTGCCGTAGGCATTCCGATGCTCAAGTCAGCAAGGCTGAAAGAGACTAGTATAGTGAGGGCTAGGGAATAGAGAGGTTACCGGAAGTCTAGTCAGGGACTGTGACTACGGCAGTGATGTGAAGCTCTCAAGTCAGAGCTTCGGGTGTGAAGGTGTAATGTAATATAATGTCCCTTGTGAGAGGGCTGGCCTCTGTTTATATAGTGATTGTCTGGTCTCCCAGTCTTGGTGGGAGTAGGAGTCCTAGTGTGACTCTGATACAAACCCTAGAGGAATTAGGGCGATGGTGAGCTATCTTACCAGTGTTCGAATAGGAAGGTGATCCCGAACAGGAAAGTAATCTCGAATAGGAAAGTGACCTAAACAGGAAGGTGACCTCGAATAGGAAACTGATCTGGAATAAGAAAGTGATATGTAGGTGTCGTGGGCTTTAGACTTGCTCATAGGTTCAGGAAGTGAACTGGGATTTGGAGGCCCGGACCCTAAGGTTGTTCAAATTCGGATATCCGATCCGAATAGGGATTTTTCTGATCCGATCCGAATTTTTGGATCAGGCTATATCCTGATCCGAATCCGATCCGAATTATGTGGATATTCGGTTTTACGGATATCCGATTATTCGGATCAGATAATTGGATATCTGAAATTGATCCGATTTTTAAAATTTTCTTAATAAAATCAAATAATTCTAGCAATAAAATTGAAATTATAATTTCCTTACATGATAAAAGTATCTAAAAAAATTAACATGAAGCACCAAACATTTAACATATGTTGTCCAAACACTGTCATAGCCTAAATGACTATGCTATCTTCATCCTTACATGATAAAAGTATCTAAAAAAATTAACATGAAGCACAAAACATTTAACATATGTTGTCCAAACACTGTCACAACCTAAATGACTATGCTATCTTCATTGTCAATTCCTACTCGTCATCGTCCTTCTGTACAAAACAAAACAAAACAAATAAACCATTTCAATAAACAACTTTTAAGATTAACAACAAAATTAATTGCATATAAATTATACCTCGCCACTGCCCTCCTCATCATCTTCCTCATCGTTCACCTCTGACATTGACTTCTCAGACTCCTCTTCATCATCCGCCTTGGGGCCTTCAGCCTAATTTCATCAATAATTAAGATTAGTCAACAGATTCAGAGCATAAAAGAATGATATGAACAAATAAATGATAAATAAACCGACCTGTCTCTTGTTATAGCTTTTCAATTCTTTATGCTTCCAACCTACAGTTTACAAACAATAAGTCTAGAATTTATGTTTCTTTTATCATTCATCCCTAAAATTTAATTCAACCTATTAATATATAAATACAACATTATGTTAGCAACCTCCAAAGTGCCCAACCAATATTAATGAATCCAAAACAACAAGTGTACAGCTAACAAATTCATACTCATAAGGGATTTTTCCACTTCAACAATCAACTCATTACACCATACAACATCAAATAAAATGGTGACGAACCAAACATCAATAACATTAACAATTTAACATAGCAACATTCATTATCCAACATATATAATTAAATTGTATTTGGGGAAAAAATCTATTACCCACATTATGTTAGCAACCTCTAAAATGTCCAACCAATGTTAATGGAACCAAAACAGCAAGTATATAACCAACAAAGTCATACTCATAAATTAAAACACTTCTATTTTTCCAATCAAACAAACCAGCCCCACCAATTGGCTGGATTTTCCCACTTCAACAATCAACACATTACATAATACAACATCAAATAACCAGAAGGCAATCAACAACATTAACATAACAACATTTTTTATTCAACATATATAATTAAATTATATGTGAGAAAAAGAATCATATTCTTGGTAAAACTAATTAAACAATAAAAAATCAATATTCTACCTTTTGGGAGGCTGCACCAATACAAAATGACATAGAAATGGTCTTAGTTAACAATCATCTAGATGAACACGAGAATTTTCCATTGACAAAGATGAAATCCCTATAAAAAGTTGGACAAAAACATAATATGAGTAATGATACCAAATATATTCAACACGAAAGATATAAGTTATAACTAAATATTAATTATTTGAAAATAAAGCAAAAGTTTGACATGACTCAATTTCTGATATTTCATCCAAGATCTCCTCATTGACGAACGGTGTACGCGTAGCCCGAATCCAATCTTGTGCACAAATAAGAGCCTCCATTGTCTTAGGAGTAAGAGAACTACGAAATGAATCTAATATACGACCCCCAGTACTAAAAGCTGACTCCGATGCAACAGTAGAAACAAGTATAGCCAAAACATCTCGTGCTATCAAAGAGAGAATTTGATATCTTGATGAATTCATCTTCCACCAAGTCAAGATATCAAAGTTCTCATTTTCATCATCTTCACATGCTTCCTTTAAATATTTTTCCAACTCAGATTTAGGCTCCAAAGCATGTTGTCCAGCCTTTGGCTCTTTAAACATAGCCTTCATGGTGACTTGAGGAGCAACATTTGCATCAGTCAAATCAATATTTTTTGCAAGTTTAGTTTGTTGACTTGATTGCACACTGGGAGAAGCCTTAGCCAAACTATATTCCTCAAATAGAGCAAACAAAGTGTCATGCACTTTTGTTTTGAATTTATAGGCTTTATCAGCATCATACGACTTATCAATAGCCCAATATACATATTTTAACTTTTTGCTGGGATCCAATACTCCTGCAATAAATAGCATTATGTTGATATTATCAACATTTCCCCAATATTTTTCATGTTTTCCTCTCATTTTCCCTGCCATCAAACGTAAGCTTGGATCATCACTTGTACACCATGTCAAAATCTTCAAGCCAATGCCATATATCTCCTCCATGTATACATTAGCGGTAACATAAAGGGAACCTGACACACGTAGAGTTGCATCATAAAAAACTTTCAAAAAAGGCAATAAGTATCTAGCATATTCCCAATCAGTATGTGTAGGCAAACCCTTTGACCTTTCCCCGCTAGTAAGCTCTTCTCTATACTTATTATCTTGGATTTCTAATAAGTCAAATGCTTTCCGAAATTTTAAAGCAACATCCAATATCAAATAAGTGGAGTTCCACCTTGTTTCTACATCAAGAACTAAAAGACTTTTTGTTTCAATTTTTTCTTGCTCCACACACTCTTTAAACCTATATAATCTCGCTGGAGAAGACCTCACATATCTCACCGCAGAACGAATTCTAAATATTGAGTCATCCATATCTTTTAACCCCTCTTTAATATTTAGACTCAATAAATGTGCACAACATCTCATGTGAAGAAAGGAACCATTCAACACACTTCCATTCCAACGTTCTAACTGCTTTTTAAGATAAGCTATCCCAACATCGTTAGAACTTGCATTGTCAACCGTCAAGGTGAACACCTTTGAAATACCCCAATCAATCAAACATCTTTCAATTGACTTTCCAATAATTAAACCTTTATGGCTAGTAATCGGACAAAAGTTCAAAATTCTTTTGTTCATTTTCCACTCATCATCAATAAAGTGAGCCGTAAGATACATGTAATTAAGATTTTGACAAGATGTCCATGTATCAATGGTTAGACAAACACTATGAGAGTATTTACTAAAATAGTTTTTCAACTTTTGTCTCTCTTCAACATAAATGCTCAAACAATCCCTAGCCACAGTAGTACGAGAGGGAACTTGAAACCTCGGTTGTGTTACACTCATCATGTATCAGAACCCCTCATGCTCCACATGCATAAATGGTAACTCATCGATAATCATCATTTTAGCTACAACTTGTCTACTCATATCTTGATCGAATTTCCAAGTCACAAGTGAAGGGGGTGTGGAGGTGGAAGTAGGTGCAACACCACTAGCAAAGTCACCTGAGAGTTATCGAAAAACTAAGGTTTTTTGTCTCTTGTCCACTAAATTAAAAGGGTATTTATAACACCGATTTAAGTGATTACGTAGCACAATAGTACCACTTTTACTTGCACAACCAAGACTAGTCCCACAATAATTACATGAAGCCGTCATTTTCTCCCTATTCTCACAATCATTTTTAGTGAAATGGTTCCACACATCAGAAGCATTCTTTCTAGTACTACTAGTAGTAGAACTTATATGTTTGGATGCTCGTGATGGTG